CTCTTGAAAAGATAGAGTTGTGGATGGTTATAACTCTCCCATATAATATATGTATTATATTTGGGAGAATACGAAACTCTTTCTCCTAGTCTCTCTTCATTTTCTCTCTCCATAGAAACACAAAATTATGCTTTTGTGCTGTAAATAGTGTGGATAGTTCTCTAGTAATTCTACTCCACTGCTGGGATTATTTGAAAATATTAATGGAGGCACGTGATTCATTCACATGATCCAGGAATGCAGTTTGAGTATGAAAGGTATGTCCAAATCCGTTTATTTTCGCTGTGGAATTTTAAATCTTCACACAGTGGAATTCTAAATGTTCAATATTCTAAATGTTCACACTGTGGAATTCTAAATGTTCACACTAATTGACTAAACCAATTCAATAGTTGTTCGAAAGGTTGTTCCAAACTGATAGACTAAACCAATTCAATAGTTGTTCGAAAGGTGTTGGTTTGCTAAGGTGGGTCTTTCTTATGTCTATTGGATTTGTTGTATGTTAATCACTGTGGATTAAACTTTTACTCATACTTAAATTTCTAATTTGATGTATTTTTTATGATATTTGTGATACAAATTCTTTTGGTAAAACTCACCCTTGAAAATTGCCTTGCAAAGGGAGAGTTCACCAGTCATTTGTCTTCTTCACAAGGCCAATCCTCTCTTTTGTTCGATGTAGAATCGGAATATACGACCAACTTCTGCAACCCACGTCCACGTTCACTCACTTTGTAGATATTGATCCAATCGTATAGCTATTTCTCTTTTGGCAACTTCATGACCCTTTTCCTTTTGTGGTTTCATTTATCTATTAATACTAGTTAAAATTGAAATTTACAATTAATAGTTAAATATAATATTTGTATATTTATAAATATAAATATTATTATATAATAAATATGAATGTATATACCAAATATTTATGCAATCAAAGAAGTACTTTCAATTTTCTTTTTTTCTTTTTTAAAGAAAAAAAAATACCTGCCAACGTAGAAAAACTTTTCGACACCTCTTCTATTATCTCAAATGAAAATTTTATAATAAATCATAGTGATTTTAAGATAGATGTAAATTACATTCATTTTAATATAAATATATTTAGTTTGTTTGATTGCAATCATTGTATTTTTATTTTTTTTTAATTAAGAACATTTTAAATGTCATAGAAAAGTGTAAGCATCATGAAAATATTATAAGATGAGAATATTTGTTAGAAAATATTTTTAAATAAGTCAAAACACAATTTAGTATCTCATAAAACGACTTATCAAATATAATTTTATAAATGATTTTACATGACTCAGTATAAAATAATTTGTTAAAAAATATTTTTTTTAACATTTTATGCGGTCAAATATCACAAAATTTGAAAAATATTTTTAATAAAAATAGTTAACAACAAATAAAATGGGTCAAATGTTATGATGTCTACACAATATCAATTCAGCAATATTTTCTTATATCTAATGTAATATTATTATAAAACTAATAGAACTAGCCAAATTAATAATGAAAGTCATTGACACCAACTTCTTCTTTTTTTTATACTAAAAGGTATATTTTTTAATTATATTTATATTATTCACTAAGCTTATTCATGTACTTACATAAGTAAATTGTTAAATTCCACCCTCCCCCTCTCTGTTTCTTATGTTTCTTTATTTTTTTATAACAGCTTTTTATATTTGCTTTATCATACTTTAGTATTTTAAAATTATAATTTTCTTCTGCATGTTATTAAAATTAATAAACATAAATATATAGGGTGAAATAATTTAAAACATATACAAAATAATGCATTTATAGGTGGAATAAGAAAATTCATAAGAGGAATAAAAGAGAAAAGAAAGAGATGATTAAAAAAACGTCAAAGGAAAGAAAAAAAAAAGTTTAAAAGATAGAATGTATTCTTTTTTACTCTAGGAAGTGTATGTGTCCTAGGGTACCCAATAGTTCAAACTCATGATTTTCAATTTGGTCTCATTAGTGCATTGTGAAACAAAAAATGAGATTTTAAATCCGACAACTTTATAGAAAATTGATTTTATTACGAAACATTGCTAGAAATGGACTACATCACCAAATCTTAGAGTCATCACCTAATCTTTTGAGAAAATTAGAAAACTTGTGACTCGTGCCAAAGGCCACTGTCTATCATAACTAAACTGTCTCAGTTCAGGAACTTAAGTATGAAGGAGGAAGGTTATGAATTGAGCACCCCTACTCACTCGATCAAATTATCGACCTCTACTAAATCATGATATGAGTTTTATAGACAATATATACTCATTTTCGGTTATTTTATATTTTGACACAAATGAATGAGTTTCCTTTTGATTATCTGTTGTGACATCAGCTAAAGAATCCTTCATGACGGTACATACATTGGATCAAATGTCGTTTTGATATAACTGTTACATATGTGTATCTGTTATGTCTACTACATTTGGTATATCTGTTATATGTTGGGCCAAGGCCATTCCATTGTTCTGTTAGCTGTTACATTGGACCAGAGTTCGTTCTGTCAAGTTTTGCTCTGTTCCGTTTAATTTGTCCGCTGTTATTGTGATGTTTTTCCTTTATCTGTTAAACTCCAGAAGGACTAATAAGCTTCTGAACGATATGCCTCTGAACAATGTTTTGACTATGATAAAAATGTTTTAAATATTTGGAACTCATTCATTAACTCTTTTACACTAATGTTTCTCATTTGGTTCTAACTCACCCCTTCCCCTATATATGTAGGTAAGCATCACAAAGATCAGCCCTACAGTCTGCATTGGCAGTCCACCGTTTTACGAAGCCAACAGTTGGACTTCCTCTGTGTTAAGGTGTTTGTTTTTGGTTTTGTTTTTGGCCAAGCTTGGTTAAGCATTATTTTGTCAAGTCATGTTATGAACTTATGTTTTGTATACATAAATATTTGTTCTTCATGCAAAAATTATTATAAATGTTATGAGATGTGTTTGGGTATTTCTGTTCATGTCATTATGCACCATTCGTTGGACAAATTTTATTTTTTACTTCCGCTTTATATTCTAAATATTTTGAGTTCTGTCTGAAGGCCGTAGGTAATCTTTGATTACCGGCCGGTCATGTCCCTAACCTCTGGGGGTGAGTTCGAGACATGACATATGGAGCAATCCAAATTTTAACAAAACCTCAAGAAGTGTATTTGTAATTTGTCTTTTTTTCTTTTTTTCTTTTTTAAATTGAAGATAATATATTTTTTTGTCTAGTAAAAAATTTAGGATAAATTCTATTAATCTTTCATGAGGTTTGGAAAAAAATACATCAAGTCCCAAAAGTTTTTCATTTCAAATTAAACAACTTCTACGAGTTTTATGATGATTCATAATTTTTAACAGAGTTTTACACTTTTGGTTACTTTTTATTTTGTCTTCTCACTATCACGATTCACAACTTTTGAAAGGAGTTGCATTTTTGGTGATTTCCCATCTTGTAAATTCACTATCAGGATACTTCATAACTAATATCACTTCAGAAAATAATCAAACACAATAGTAGTCTTAATCAAACTTAATTTGCTAGTCTGGTTACAATAATGAACTCCATTTTCAAATGGTTTCTTTAATTTATGTTAATATGAAAAACACATCATATTAAATTTATTATTTTTCTTTAATAATTTTAAAATTATATAACACATTATTATTATTATTATTTTACATTAAAAATAAAATCTTACAAATCTTGAACCAATTCTATAATCCGATTCATAAGTTCCTCTCAATGATCTCATTTATATTGTGTTTGGTTGAGAAGAGATTTGAAAAGGAAAATAGAAAACGTAGATAAAATTTGAATAAAATATACCTACATTTCACCTAATTTCACATACCTTTTCCTTTTCTCTTTCTAAATTTCTCTCTAAATCCTCTAGCCAAACACAATGTTAAAATCTCAATTATAACAAGTTTGAGGAAAATATTGACCCTGTGTTCTCTGATCCGACAATTATAAAAAGACACAAAACACCAAAGATTCTTTCCACCGAAGTAGTAAAAATTGAAGTTAAACATTTAGAAAAATAAAAAATAAAAAAATTCACTTCAACAAAATTTTGAGCATTACAAAGCCCCTTTCGCGTTTTGCCACCTTCCGGAGCAAACTAAAGGTTCATTCATAATCGTGCAATGACACTCACTAGGACATCTAAACCATTTAGTTATAATTTTCATAATTCGAACTACTCATCTTAAATAATCTATGAAGAAGAAAATTAACTTGAACCAATAATTGTAACCATTTATTTCATCATCTTCCAAAAAACACATGAACTGTCTACATGTAGCCACAATTATCAGATCAATCTAATATTTTTTCTTTTTGCATAAGTAATTCACTCACAATCACAATGAATTAATAGAAAAACGATACCTGATAGATAAACAATACGGTCCATTGGAGTGAGATTTGTCGTGGACCTACAGCCCCATACAGAACATGTCTTTATTGCAACAGTTAATACTAATTACTCCCTCCGTTTTAAAATATTAGTCCCTTATTTTATTTTTTATTGTCCAAAAACATTAGTCCCTTTTCAAAAATAAATGACTAAAACAATATAAATTTCCTATTTTGGTTTTCATTTAAATTCATTAACAACACAAAAAATACAATTCTGACAATTGATATTCCCTAAAAAATATACTATCAAAGGGTAATTTTAAAAAATTAATATTTTTAAAGTGCAATAATTGTACTATTAAAAAAGTTGAATTCCCTATAAAGAACTATTATTTTGGGACGGAGGGAGTATAAGGTTTCCAATTTCCAACTGGCAGCAGTTTCAAAAAGAGGTTCCACAATTTGGGTAAATATTTGAATACAAAATGCAGACTACTTTTTTTCCTTTCTTTTCTTTTCTTTTTTCATTCTTCTAATTGGGAGAGGTGAAGGAAAGAAAGAAAAATATGCTCTATAACATCACGCAGAGTATTGTTTCTTCAGATCTATGGGTATAGACACGATGATGAACTAGAAAATATTCAGACCTTATATATTCCAATCTTAGCTTCAGAGATTACAGCTACTGCGGAAGACTTCAGACTATAACACTTAAGACTATTCTCAAATTCTCAAGGCTTCTCCATTCTGCCATTCTGTGTAGCCTCTAGTTTAACGTTGTCACCTTCAATTCTGACGCCACCATACATAGATCGAAACAAAATGGAGACACAAACAGAGGAATGCCACAAACAATGTTGTGGCTCAAACTTATTTTTATATGAAAATCTTTCCGATACGACTGTCACAACTCACTAAGTGAAAAGTTTCTTCTCCTTCAAGCTTTCAACTGTTTCCTTGATGCTCTGCTTAAGGGGAATGAACTCAATACCTAAGCTTTTTGCTCTTTCCTTAGACACCTGGTAAGTCGGCATAAATGGCTTGTCGTCAGCGCACCTACAAAGATTATTCAAAAGATGTAGATTAAAACAAGGAGGAACATGTTAGAAATGAACACAACTAGTGAATGAACTACTTTCAAAGGGTTCAAATCTCAAAGGGTTCCCACCTAAAATATGAACATTAACTACTATCAAAGGGTTCAAATCTCAAGATCGATCAACTGCAAAACGCCTATTGGTCAATCTTCTATAGATGATGTTGGAAAATGTATCTAATTATGTTATCATTTTAAAAATAAATTAATTAATTAAAAAGAGAAAAACCTCAATGGAACAACTCACTAAGTGAAAAGTTTCTTCTCCGTCAAGCTTTCAACTGTTTCCTTGATGCTCTGCTTAAGGGGAATGAGCTCAATACCTAAGCTTTTTGCTCTTTCCTTAGACACCTGGTAAGTCGGCATAAATGGCTTGTCATCAGCGCACCTACAAAGATTATTCAAAAGATGTAGATTAAAACAAGGAGGAACAGGTTAGAAATGAACACAACTAGTGAATGAACTACTTTCAAAGGGTTCAAATCTCAAAGGGTTCCCACCTAAAATATGAACATTAACTACTATCAAAGGGTTCAAATCTCAAGATCGATCAACTGCAAAACGCCTATTGGTCAATCTTCTATAGATGATGTTGGAAAATGTATCTAATTATGTTATCATTTTAAAAATAAATTAATTAATTAAAAAGAGAAAAACCTCAATGGAACATTAGTGATGGTTACAAAAAGAGAGAAGCACACTGAAAGACAAAATAAATCTTACAAAAGAATGTGCTAACACTAACTAAAGACAAAAAAATACCAACACAGTAGACAATACTGTAGACCAATTTTTAGGATTCCCAATATAAATAAATAAAGATGCAAAATAATGTACAAGAATTTGTTTGATCACATGCTAAGTTCAAAATCTAGAAGACCAAACAGAGTTATGAAAATTGATTATGTTTTAGCTTTCATTATTTTCCAAAACAATTTTCCATTTTTGTGATTTTTCAAAAAAATCTCCAAAACAGATCACCAAATAAGTTTTTGTTTTTTCTAATAAATGAAACAAAACCCAAGCTTTCCGTCAATATCCAAGCATTGAAACTTAGTTCAACAAAATTAAAATGACAAATTATTATTGGAAAGGAAGCAAGACAGCACAGAATTTGCATGTAAAGAAGAAAGTAAAACTGTCAATGCCTCATCTTGAAAAGCCCAAAAAGAACAAATAAAAAGGTCACAGACAGCAAACTAAAAACATGTCGATTGATATCTAAACATGCCCATAGAGAAAGCATCAGCCAAAAAACATTGATTACCCCAACATTTTGAATTTATAAATAAATATGTAAAGTCACCAGACATCTAAAATATTGGTCAGAATTTGAGTATATTCTACATGCATGTCCTACTTTTATCTTACATGTATATTCACATTACAAATCATCAATGAAATTGAAAGCTTAGCAACTCGGATGGCTTTGTCGAAGGGTGCAACTTGGGCAGGTTCAATCGGATTGAAAGATTGCTCAAGCCTAGCGCAAGTTGTGTTGAATGTTGCCCAAGCTCAGCTTGCAGCTCAAACTCCTAAGCTTGAACCGAGCATAATATATGAACTCGGGCCAGGCCCAAATTGCCAGAAATTTATTTATTTATTTATTATTAATTTTTTTTTTTTTTTTGGAGCTTGGTTAATTACTTTGTTAAAGTTAGACCTTTTTTTTTTGATAAAAGCATTAATAACATTAACACAAATAATTTAAAAGGAAAATTATGCAAATGTTCCCTGTAATTTATATGATGTGTCAATTTGATCCATGTTATTTTAATTTGCTCAATTTGCCCTTAATTTAACGGATTGTGTTATATTGGTCCAATAAATAACGGTCGTTAGGTTTGATGGACGGAAAGTCATCACGTGCTCAAACGATGTGTCAATTTGGTCCTTATAGTTTACACGATGTATCAATTTAGTCCATGTTGTTTTAATTTCCTTGATTTTGACAGGGACCAAATTGACATATTATGTAAACTACCGAGACCAAATTAACATATTGTGTAAACTACTGAGACCAAATTGACACATCATTTGAGTTTCCATCCACCAAACCTAACGATAGTTATTTATTGGACCAATATGACACAATCCGTTAAATTAAGGGGCAAAATCAAGCAAATTAAAACAATAGGGACCAAATTGACACATCGTGTAGCCTATAGGGACCATTTACATAATTTACCCTAATTTATATGATGAAGGAAAAGACATAGGAGAAGTTTTAAAATGTCTGAATTATAAAAATAAAGTGGCACAGCACCAACATTTCTAACTGTCTTAAAGTTGAAGTAAATGGCTCCCTATAAAGCACGAACACATCTCCGGAGGCAATGTATGGGTTTCCGAGATGTGTCAGACACAGGCACGCGGCGTACATGCGATGGACATATATTGGACACCCTATCTAACGTTTCTGGAATTTTTTTTTATTTTTTCCAGTCGGACACTTAGTGGACACATGCGATGGACACATGTCGGACACCCTGTCTAAAGTTTCTGGCTTTTTTTTTTATTTTTTCTAGTCGGACACTTAGTGGACACACTCAAACACCTAAAGGAAAATGCGGTGAGAGAGAGAGAGAGAGAGAGAGAGGGAGAAGAAGTCACTCACCTACAAACCTTAGGTGAAGCTATTGAAGTTTTTGAAGGCCCCTATTCAAGCAATCGCAGGTAGATTTCTCTCTCTCTCTCTCTCTTCTTTTCTTTGTCTCTCTTCGTTCTTCTCCCCTCCATCTTCGTTTTTTCGTTTGATTTCTTCTTCTTTTCTTTTTTTCCCTTTCTCTCTTTCTCTATTTCTTCTCTCCTTCGTTTCTTTTTCTTTTTTCCTTCTCTCTCTCTTTTTTTATTTTATTTTTTCCCCCTTTTATAAGGTCAACCATTGGATAAGTGAACAAAAAGTTGCAACCCCTCTATTTTCAATATTCATCTTAATTTTATTTGAAGAAAAATTAATTTCTTGAAATTACTAAATTTATTTTATTGGATAAAGTGTTAAAATTGATGAATATATCTATATATGTAACCAAACAAAACCAAACCAAACCAAACCTTAAGTCCCATCAAATGCGGTCAGCTACATGAATCATTCTTCTCCACTCGACTCAATCAACAGCTATTTGGTTTGTCAAATTAAGGAGATTCATATCTCTATTTACTACACTAGCCCACGTCAATCTAGATCTACTCCTTCCCTTAACATTTCCATCTACCATCACTATATCACATCTCTTCACTACTGCCTCTGTTGGTCTCCGTTCTATATGCCCAAACCATCTCAATCCATTTTCTCTCAACTTTTCTTCTATCAGTGCTACTTCTACCCATTCACGAATATACTCTTTTCTTAATCCTGTCTTTTCTAGTCTTGCCATACATTCACCTTAGCATCCACATCCCTCTACCGTCACTGCATCAAATAGATCTGTATATAAATTTAAATATTTGTTAATGTTATTTTGTATTTTTTTATTACTTCTCAATTTTTTTTTTTAAATTTATATCATGTAATAAATAAATAAAATTATATATTTTAAGCATATCTCCCGCATGTCGTATCCTCTATTTTTTGAAAATTTGCATGTCCACATGCCCGTGTCATGTCATGTGTCCGTATCCGTGCTCGTGCTTCTTTGGTGGCTCCTTATCCATTTATTATCCTAGACTCATTTTCTTAAATTATAGCTTGCATTAAACGCTCAAGGACTTCTTGCAACTTGCACAACACTCAATATCATATTATGCTAAAACTTCTTCAAATAGTCAGAACTTTAGGAGGCAATGTATATACTTCAAGAAAATGACACAATTCAAGAACTTTCCAACTGAGCCTCTTTTTACCTCATCGGCTATGTTATATACTTGTCTCATCAACTATGTTTTAAAAGGTAGTATGTGAAAACCACATAAAATGACATGACAAATTAGTAGGAGCAGATGGATCTGACAGAGACTGTTAGAAAAGGTAAGGGAAATACTATTGAAACAAATCCTATCAGACCATAAGTAATAGCTGAGATGAATTGTCTAAATTTACTCAGTTAAATAAATTGTAACAACATGCTAAACAGTTCAAGAAGAAGAAACATTGAAGCAGAGTTTAATAAACTGAATGAGATAAATCACTTACTTTTCTGGAAGTTGAAAAGCAGGAAACAGCTCTTGTAGCATCTTCACAAGTTCAGAGTAGTGTGCAACGCTCTCAACCAAACAATATCTTCCATTAGCTGAAGGAATCTCAAATGCTTGAATATGTGCATTGGCAACATCTTTAACATTAACCCATCCAAATGTAGAATTTGGAAATGTTTGTGAACCTGTAAAATAAAGGAGCAAATAAACAGGTCCATTATTCCCTTAAAAAGAAGTTCAACATCATTTTGCAAAAAATAAAATATGGCAACGGCTTTATTTATTCAACTAAAGTTTTATGCTTCAAGTTTCAGCAACAATTATTTCTAGACGGAAGAATATTAAAATGCTCCTAGGAAAATTACATTATAGATTTATTTATTTATTTATGTTACTCATCAACAAATACATACCATGAAATGAAGGAAAGAGAAAACCAAAGCCCAGTAATATACAGCTTCTTGGGGGAATAGTTTGATTCAACAGAAATATAAATATGTTGTTTCACAAAAGTAAACATAGTTCCTCCTGAATCATTAGCTGAAAGGAAATGTCATGTCATCCATAAATGAGAACAGACTACGTGCATGTGTTATAAAATATAAAGAACGCATACCATTTATTAAGATCAAAATTGCAGCAGCACTTGTATTGAGCGTTGGCTGCAAGAGAGGACCGATAACCAGTGCTGGGTTAATTGTAACCATGTCAATACCCTTTTCTTTTGTAAACTTCCAGGCAGCATCCTCTGCTAAAGTCTTTGATAGCACATACCAAAGCTGGTAGCAGAAAAAAAGGGGATGGGAAAAAACAGAAGCATTCAACAGATTAGAAAGAACAGCCATTACAATTGCAAATTATGAACAATCATACAAAGCATATCGATTGAAACAAAACAAAATTATGGCCCTTCATGCAGAATGGTTCATTGAAAATCCTACCTTTGAAAATTTACACAAAAAATAGATCATTGAAAACAACAAATAATGTGTTAAAAGGGCAAATGATGTATTATAATGATGGACATAGGATTTTTTTCAATTTTTTTTTTCCTTCGATTTTGTTGGCCTAGATCACTTGTTCAAACAAGATCTAAAAGAAAATAGAAAACCAAAATTCTTTAAGTGTCTAAAGCCTCGTTTGGAAACAGATTTTTTTAGTAATTTTTTGGCTTTTTGGCTAAAATGTGATGTAAAAAAAACTAGTGGGTGTGTTTGGTTTGTGTTTGCAGAGTAGTTTTTAAGATAAAAAGTACAAAAACTTGTTTGGTTTACCTTTTTTTAAAAATGGTTTTGAAAAATTGTTTTGGGGAGAGAGTTTTAAAAAAAATGATTGATTTGATGTGTATGAGAGAGAGAGTGATTTCGGAAAGTAAGTAACCAAACAAAATTTTGAGATTTTTTTTGGAAAAATTTGTTTGGTTTGATTACTCTTGAAAATTTGTTTGTAGAGAATTTTTTCCAAAAATTTTTCTGAAAAACAAACCAAACAAGGCCAGTATGTTTGTGATGCCTTTTTGGCTTTTACGAGAAGATGTGCAAAAAGTAGAGAAAAGGAAATCTTTGACTTTTTGGTATGGGTTGTTGGCTTTTTGATTTTTTTAATAATTTTTCGACTTTTTGGCTAAAAGGAGCACTTGCCAAATGAGGCCTAAGTGGCCAGATTTTCAAGTGAGAGCATCAATGACTATGAAACAAGGACATTATGAAACAAGGACATTATGAACTTCAAAATTCAAATTTTCAAGTATCCTATACTTTGAACATTTCTATAATGCACTAAACACATTTAAATGGCATGCAAATCTAGGTTAATATCCAGTCATGTTTAGATTGACACCATTCTAGTGATACAATTGGCTGAGCTTCCCAAAAAAAAAAAGGAAAAAAAATGGGAGGGGCTCATTTCCTAGTTTTGGTCCTGTGAATGTGGGTTGCTGGTATCTCAAACTTTTGCCAGCCCTGGATCAAGCATCCATATGTACAAGGAAATTATATATCAACGGACAATGAATAAACAACACATATACACACCTCATTTTGCTTGCAGAACTCTGGATCAGAAAACCAACTCTCATCAATTACGACTTCAGGAGCTTGAGGCCTACCATTGAAAGCAACGGCAGCTACAGAAGATGTCAACACTACTCTTTTCACAGATGGGTTTTTGGCACATGAGCCAAGAACATTAAGTGTTCCCTTCAATGCAGGATCAATCAATTCCACCTGAAAAGAGATGAGGAATAGTTGAGATAACAAACACAGAATAAAAGGCATGCTTATTAACAGATAAAAGATAGCATATATGTATGTATACTCAAGGTTGTGAAGATTGCTCTTATCAATAACACAATATGTTTTTCCATGGCACCAGGTGAACAAGTCCACTAGCAATTATCCTTAATAGAAATTACAGTTTGATACAACTAACTGGAAGCAAATTGGAAACTAGAACAACATCCTAAATATTTTATAATAAAAACAATGTCTTATGATACAACCACAAATATAAAAAGAAAAGAGAAACCAATCAGCAGAATGACAAAAACAAAATTTAGAGTTTAGGTAAATAACTCAAACCAAAAAAGTGTCTCTAAAAGGATGCATTCAATGATATTGGAAACAACTGCCAGCAAGCTTTTATAGATGGGAAACAAATTCTAGACAAGAATGCTTTTGCAATATAAGCAAACAATGCCATGTTTAGTCAGTGGCTAACGAAATAGGATAGGCTCTAAAAGCCTTAAAAAAAAGTTGTTAGGCCTTAACAGTCAATAAGCCATTTTGCTCCAATTGATGGTCCATGCAAGTTAGTCAAGTGCCTGGTTATGTTATGTGCGGTGTGGGTGATGGAGAGTTCGGAAATATGGAAGACACCGACACACTAGTGACCACCGGATGTGGGAGAAAAGAGAGTCAAGGCAGCCTTAGGAGTGAATGAGGGTGGCAGTGGAGAGTTCTATGACAAAAAGGAGCAAGAGGATGTTCAATGTGTCCATTGCATGTATGGAAGTTACCTTTATAAGTGATGGTGACGTTGCTTTTAAAAATTCCCAAATTTATTTAGTTGGCAGCTACAATTCAACCCAGGATATTTAGTCCAACATTACATCAGCCAACCTATGGGACTTTTGAGTTTACTCATTACAAGTCTTGGATAAACCAAGCAGTGCATTCTCAAGCAATATAGTTGCTATAATCTTCTTAGTGTATGTAAGTGCTACTAAAATCAATCAAAAAGATCACTACAATCTATTCCAGCCACAAGTTCCACTTGGAACAAGCATCCAACGAATATTAAATTCCCCTCGAAGTCAAATAATGGAAAAGATTAATCTTGAGTACAAGATGGATGCGAACAAGCTGAAGCATATGAAGCTTTTACCATCCATGGAAAAGACAAGTTTTTTCTTAAGAGGGAGAAAATGATGTAGAACAAGAGGTTTAGAATTTTTATATTTTATTGTTATTATTTTGGAATTAGATTGACTAGGATTTTGTTAAATAGTGTAGAATTCTTAGTTGAGCATTACCATTCAGACCCAAAAGTTAGACCCACTTTCTAGAACCAGTGATGTGTCAAGAAGATACTTCGTTGATAATTAAATATTCTCTAATTATCAATCAATCATCTTCTTGACACATTATTGGATCTAGAAAGTGGGTCTAAAAAGTGGAGTTGTATATCATTTTCCTTCTTAGTTTTTCAAAGTGGACTTTGCAATATGAAATGTACCTGTGGATTAGAAGTCGTAACAAAACATGGAGATGCTGTATGAAAAACACCGTCACACCCATCAACCATAGAATCAAAGGAACCTTCTTCAAGTAAATTTCCTTTAAACAAGTGAAGTCTCTCCTTAGCTCCATCAAGTGCAAGTAAGTGTTCCGTCTTCTTCGGATCAACTGCATTTTATTACCAACTAATAAATAAATGTGAAAAACAGGTAACTCAACTATAATCCATTAAAAGGTGCATTTTCAGGTAGAACAAGACCGAATGACCTACAGATGAGATTAAATTGCAAGTCTTGATTCAATCCTCTTAATTCTACTTGAACAAATTTATATCAATTCATACATTTTCATGGGAAATTATAGTTTTATAAGCATATAAAGGATCACAAATAGTATACTAATTTTGTATATGGTCATAAATAGTTCCTAAAGTATACTATCTATTTCATTTTGGTTCCTAATCTTTAATTTGCTTCAATTACAACCCTAAACTTTACACATTGATTACAATGTAGTCCTTTCCTATAAATGCAGAATGTTGATATCATGCTTAAATCAAGCTTTGAATGCACAATATATGCCAAATAACATTGATCGAATTATGGATAGAAGATTATGGTTTCATGCAGTATAGAAAAATTGAGGTTTTAGGGAGATTTTAAGGATTAACTCGGCACATTAAAAGCGCAATAGTTAGAAGATTTTTAGGAATAAACTCAACAAATAAGAAATTCAATGGACAAAAAATTAACTTATTGTCGCGACATATCAGAGGACTACGTTCCTCAGTATGTATGTATTTCAGTTCTTAAAAGTAACTTTGTCATCCTTCTTAAATTCATGTGTCTATTATTCATTTAGGCAATAAAATAAAATAAATTCCTCAATGTCTTTTAAATGCTTAATATAAGGCTAATGTAAGCATGATACCATGTTAAAGCATCCAACTCAATTGATAGATTGATTCAAAGACTTGAACCATGAGAGGTGAGAGACCACCCAAACCGAGCTCTGATACCATGTTAAAGCATCCATCTCAAAACCAATTGGCAATGAGTGGAGAAGCGCATTAACACAATCTATGGTGGGTTCTAAAGCTTGATTGGTGATGACGCATATTTTTTAAAACAAGAAAATTATTAGATAGTCCTAGAGTAGCATTTAGCATTGCTTATGTGGTGCTCCTAGCCAATAGGAAACCGCAACCTACACTAAGTGTGTCACCCCATGTCTCTCAGCTACCTAACAAAGATGAGTCACCATGTCTCACTTGTAAGATCTTCTACTACGCTATTGGTTTGGATCAGGGTTCTATTTCTCAATCTTTCTGACTTACTCCTATGGAACCAAGGTCGAAAGATTGAAAAAATCAATGATTCACAACCATTGATGAAGAACTATCATGTAAGCAATGTCACATAGTACTCTCCAAAAATATCTAATAATTGCTTGTGTAGGGGTTTACTGTTACAATTGAAGACAAGGAATCAAAGTGAGATTTTAGTAAAAGAACAAGACAAGAATATTAAGTATAACTTACCGCTTAATTTGATCCCTATTAAGTATAATTTACCCCTTAAATTATAAAATGGTCATTATAGTTTACATGATGTGTCAATTTGATCCGTATTGTTTCAATTTGTTCGATTTTGCCCTTAATTTAACGGATTATGTCATATTAGTCCAATAAATAACGGCGGTTAGGTTTGGTGGACAGAAAATCAAATTATGCATCAATTTGGTCCATGTAATTTAAACAAGATGTCAATTTAGTACATGTTTTAATTTGCTAAATTTTGACAAGAACTAAATTGACACATCATGTAAACTATAGTAACTAACTTGACACATGTTTGACTTTCTGTCCACCAAACCTAACAACCATTATTTACTGGACTAATATGACACAATTCGTTAAATTAAGGAGTAAAATTGAGCAAATTCAAACAACATAGACCAAATTGACACATGAACTACAGAACCATTTGCATAATTTACCCCAAGTATAATTTACCCAAAATTATATAATGCAGCAACCAAAAATTTCATTGCCAATACACTGGTATAATCGAAATGAAAGATTGAAGTGCATAGAAAGTGTTAGAATGATCTATTTTCAACAAAATCGAGATAACTAAAAGTGACCACTACAAGAACCATAGATTATAACCCAATATTGAAAATAACAGAGAGAGAGAGAGAGAGAACTGACAAGGGTCGCGAACAGAGGCTCGGACAATGTAACCACGTTGAAGCAACAACTTAACCAGCCATGAAGCGATGAACCCTGACCCTCCCGTCACGCACACTGTCTTCCCTTGCCCGCTCATTCTCTCTCTCGAGTTCTCTCTCCGTCTCTATGAGAAGATGACAATTGAAATTGGTTAATGGCTCCAATGCTTCCTCTGCAGATATTGGTATATATTTATATAATATATACATTTTTATTTATTGATACTATTACTTGTGTTTTATTTTGTTTGTTTTAGTGGTATTTTAAAAAGTTGGTAAAAAATTAAATTTTTAATTTTTTTAGTTTATTTTGTTTTTTAGTGGATAAAAAAATGTGAAAGGTGATGTGGTCCAAAATAAGTAAAAAGCCAAAAGCTGGCTTTTTACCTCCTTGCCGAAGCACCCCTAAGGGAAGAGATATTGTATTTTGTTATTGACTCTTTTTTGCTACTTGTGCTGTATTGGATGGCTTGTTTTGAAAAAATAGTTAAAAGATATCTTTTAATTTTTAATTTATTTTAAGTTATATCTCTCTCCTTTTTTATACAATTTTAAAAAAAATTAAAAAATCAATAAATTAACTTTTAATCAACTTCTTTAAAACAATCCGTCATTAATTGCGTTGTGTTTCATTGTGTTATTGACTCTTTTCGGCTATTTGTGTTGCATGTCATTCGATTCCGTTGTGTTTGGTTGTGTTATTGATTCTTCTTGGCTTTGTTTGAAAAAAAATAATTGGAAATAGGTTATTTTATTAATTTTTTAACTTTTTATAAAAAAAATATGTAAAAAAATAGAGAGAATGATATTATAGTTTATAGTGACTTCTTAACTTTTTGACTAATGTATAGAGAAAATTAGTCTAAGGTCTCTCTTCCATGTTTAGTAATGGAAGAGATCCACAATATTATTTTATAATGTCTAAAATCTCTCAACTCCCACCCCCATATATCACAGAGAAATTTGACTATCTAAAATCAAACCTCATTTTTTTTTCCTCTCTCTCACTCTAAACTCTTTCGGCATGCCCAGTTCATTAGATCATCCACCTTCGAGATCACAAACTCCAACCCTAACATGTAATGAATAAAAATGATGTGCTTACCAGAGAAACAGATTGAGATGGATCTGTGAAGAGATAAAATAGAGTTTAATCAGAGTTCGAACTTCAAATTTGATTGCAAAGCCCAAGACGAGAACTAAGTTGAAACTTTCCATATTAGTCTCACTCTCTCATATGTGAATTTGATCGAACCAGGTCGAGCTTCGGAGAACAACAAATCGTTCCGAAGCACAGAGAATGAACTTTAACGGTGAATCAGATAATGAATTTGAATCTTTGTGCTTGTGCTTTCTCCACTGCTGAAATTCCAAATAGACGAGAGAGAGAGAGAGAGCACATTCTTATATCTTTATTTTTTACCATCATTTTCATTATCATCATCATCATTTCTCTCTCTCAGCAATCATAGCGTCTGTCTTTGTGTGGGTTGTGTTTGTATGGTTATACTTTCTTTAAACCATCTTCCTTGGTCTCCGAAGCCATTATTGTATAGACAATGCATACATATGTGTTTATATGATATATACAGAGAGAGAGCAATGGAGTTGACAGTATTGTTTGTGCATATATATGTGTGCATGTATCATATATATATATATATATATGTATGCATATATTGTTTGTGCTGACAGTGTTGAATACAGTGTTTCATACAAACCAAAGAAATTTTGTGCTGACAGTGTTACTAGTGTTGAAATTTCTCTAGTTTGAATTCAAAGAAATTTCAATTTTCTCTAGTTTAAACTCAGAGTAATTCTTTGCACTTAATGAGGCGAAATTCTCTAGGAATTTCTCTAGTTTGGAGAAAATTTCTCTGGAAATTACCATCTTGCGATGTTTGGTTCATTTTTTAGAACTTGTTTTTTGGGTTGCCTTTAATCCTTTCTCTGCAGCTGGTGTTTCCTGTTTTGCTAGTTGAAGCTAGGTTGCTACTGGAGCAATGTTGTTGCCCTGGTGGCTGTTGCTTGCCGGCTGCTATTGCTGCAATGTTGCTGTAACTTTGTGGTTATATTTGGGTTGCAACTGGTGGCTTGGTAGCTGCAGATTGCTGTTTTTTTTTTCTTTTTTTCTTTTTAGCTCTGTTCTGGGTTTTGCTGGGCTATGGCTAATGTCCCTGTAGTTGTTGCTATGTTTTTTTATGGCTGTGCTAGGTGGTTTTGTAGAGTTCAAGCCAAGCAAATGTTGTATGCTGCTTTCGCTCATATGGTTTGTCCTCTTGCAAAATTTTGCAAAATTTTGGATGCTACAGCTAATGCTACAACCCATATGGATGCTATTGTTGGATTAGTATAGAATTTTGGTGAATACATGCTACTGCTTTGGGGCGTGGAGCTTGGATTATCATGTTGGTAGTGTGGTATTTTCTCTTGTTTAGGGTCCCTATTTTTTATATATATGGCTCTTGAACAAGATTTTGTTCTTTGTTTTTTCATTTTTGCTTATAGTTCTGCATAGTTGTTAGGGTCTGGGGCATGCCCCTTGAAATCTTGTATATTCTCTTATTTTATTTTATGTCTTATTTACCAAAAGAAAAAAAAGAATTTCTTTTGAGAGAATTTATCTGGGAGTTCATTTTTCTTCAAATTTCCCAAGGTACTGTTGACAGATCTTATAACACCCCAGCCAATGTGTGAACCATGGAACACATTTAGCTTGAGGTTTATGATTTTCAACCAGAAAAGATTGTGAGAGGAAATTTCTCTAGTTGGAGTGAATTTCTCTAGGTTGGAAGGAGATTTTCTCTAGGTTAGAGTGAATTTCTCTGGGTTAGAGTGAGATTTTCTCTGAGTTTGAGTGAATTTCTCTGGGTTTGAGGGGGATTTTCTCTTGGTTTGAGTTCTGGAATTTTCTTCCACTACAACACGGGCTTTGCTCTCAACTTCTAAAGGATCAATTTTAAAGGATTTTCATGAAAGAAGAGCTCTCAAGGTATTGTGATTATCCAACTGACTCTCACTTACTCTTTTGCTATTACCCAATTATGTCTTTAATTTTCTTTCAATGGACTGTTTGGCTTCCGAGAAAATCAAAATTTCTCTGGGATGGATCCAAAATTTCTCTAAAAAGAGAATTTCTCTGGGATCAAATTTTCTTTGGATAGATGTGAGGGACCTTAGATAGAGTGATATTATAATTTATAATAACTTTTTAACTAAAATATATAGTTCACAAACGAGGTCTAAAATATAAAATAAGTTAAAAAGTCAATATCATAAAATGTCACATTCAAATTATAATTATTTTATTTTTCTATACTAAAAGTTTAAAAAAATTTAAAAAATCAATCTAAATAAACTTTTTAATTTCAAATTAAAATAATCAATAAAAAATAAATAAAATAACAAAGTTGTCCTTTTTCGGCTTTCGCGGTAGACTGTTTTAGTTAAAATTTGTTATTTTATTTTTTTGTTTTTTGTTTTTGGTGTCATTTCAAGTCTAAAGCGGGGTGGCCGGGTAATTTTGTGGTTTGTTCAAAAACACAAAATTAAATAAGTGGTTATTATATTTTTTACCTTTACATTATTGTTAAATTATTTATTTTATTTTTGAATTATTAATTGAATCTCCCCAGTTCTTAAATAGGTAGGATCTTTAATTAATTTATAATACTTATGAGTTTGTATTTTAAATAGGTTAAATAAATTAATAAAATAAAATATCACACTTAAATCATAATAATTTTATTTTTTTCTCATAAAAGTCAAAAAAAAATTAAAAAAACCAACTCATACGAACTTTTTAATTACAAGCTAAAAATGTCTTAATTCAAAAAAACTAACTAAATTTTTTTTTACCAAAAGACAATAAAAGAAATTACAATTATATCATTTGTAAATTAAAATTTAAATACTAATGTTCCCCTTACTTTGTTTGTTGCGGATATGTTTTAACGAGTAGATAGAAAGCATAATTTCTCACTCTTAGACTGCGTTTGGTTCATAGATTTGAAGAGATATTTGAAAAAAAGAAAAAGAAAAAAAAGTAGATGAAATATAAATAAAATATGACTACATTTCACACACTTTTTTATTTTCCTTTTCAAATTTCTTCTCAAACTCATGAACCAAATACAGCCTTTGTGAATATTACTTTGTTTATATCACTATTCTCAGACATTTAAAAAATTAAAAGCAAGATATAAAAGTATTTATGAAAATGGGAAATAAATTTTTATTAAGTACTTAGAGATTATAATCAAGTAAACGGTTGTTTTCACGGCATAATACTGTCATAGCATCGTCCCCGATCCCAGTAAGTATATAAGCCTTTTTAGTACATTTTTTAACCAGTTAGGGCATCTTTAATAGCAAATACTATAATAACATTGTCATTGTTATAATTTGATAATGAATAGTAGTAAATTGTCAAATTATAGCAATGGTGCTCCAATGGTCGCATACTATTTTGGCAAATCTCAGCCAATTTTTCCTTCAATTTTGTCGGTGTTGTTTAGATATAAATTTTTTAGTGATTTTTTTATTATTTATTTTATTGTCTTTTGTGACCTTTTTAAAACTTTTTGTTAAAAAAAAAATTAAATATTTACACTGTGCCCTACCAGACAAATATAAAAAATTGAAAAATTGAATTATTTTTTTTATTATATGTAATTCACCCCACCAAAAAAACATACGACTACAAAATTAAAAATTAAAAAAAAAAGTATTAACTACATTAAAATTACATTTATCACTACATTACATTGCAAAATAAAAATTATATTTAAAAAGAAATAATAAAAATTGCCACATCTTCATTAATGCTAAATGATTTTTCTAACAATTGGGTCTTCAGTAATGTGACACCAACCTCTACAAATTGCACATCTTCATTAATGCTAAATGGTTTTCCTCTCTTTGTTTTTGATAAACCTTCTATAGTGATTGTGTGAAAAATAAAAAAAGAAAAATATAATTTAAGATGTTTTACTGTGAATTCAAATTGAATTAACGTGTTTGTATTTATATTACTACAAAAACATGACCTTTTTTTTTAGCCGTTTAATTTATAGCTGTTGGTGTCTTGTCTGTTTGGAAAAATAGCCTTTTTTTTTTCTAGATTGAAATAGAGTTGTTGAGCTCATGTTTAGCATTCCAAG